GGCAGAGCCCATCATAACTGCTTGACACTATCAAAGATCCGTCGCTGTTAAAATGCACAGCTGTAACTGGGTCCGAGTGTGCAGGTAAAGTCTTGAGACACTTCCCTGTTTTCACATCCCATATCCTTATGCTTTCATCAAAAGAGCCGGAAACGACGAGGTTGGATAGGGGATTGAAGCTACAGCAGAAGACGTAATTACTGTGTCCCTTCAGGGTTTTTAGACATTTTCCCGAACTCGCCTCCCAAATTTTAAGAGTTTTATCATCCGAGGCAGACACAAGAAGGTTGGAATCTGAAGACCAGGCAACATCTGAGATTTCCAGTTTGTGCCCAGATATTGTTTTCTCACATTTTCCATCATATGCTCCCCAAATTTTGATGAGCTTATCAGCAGAAGCACTTGCTAACCATTCTCCATTAGGGCTAAATTTTACCGAAGATACAGCTTTAGTATGCCCTACTAATGTAAATTTTAATGTGTAGTTTGGTTTTAAAGGTGGCTTGCTCTGATTGGTTGATGAAGAAGGTGTAGATTGTGTTCTCGGGGCTTCGGTCTCTGGTTTCTTTTCTGTTGCCATTTCTGTTCGGAAATGAGCAAGTCGGGCTTCAGGTGCTTAAGGGCTATGGGCTGAATGAAAGCACAGTTTTAAGCGGAAGGTATCACCGCGAAAAGAAAACCTGCGTTTGGGAAGTTAAATCTCACCTCCGCTAGGTTCCGCACCGGGGATCGGGGCGAGCGCCTCTGCGTCCGCTACTCTGCTGGGGAGCCCCCCTTCTCTGCCCGCTGGACGGAAGCAGCGCACAGGCTCCTCCGCCTGGCACCAGGCCAGTAGTGTCTAAGCATAGCTTGTTACAGCTCTCCCTGGTTCAGCCACGCTTGCCTTTTATACAGTAAACCGACTTTTAAAAGTGTGACCCATTATTCCTCACTTTATTGTGGTTCTTCCACCGCTCCCGACTTACACACCTCTTTGGCTTCTTTTAAGTCCCAACTAAAATCCCACCTTTTACAAGGTTTCCCCCACCCCTACTTAATTCCAGTGCCTTCCCTCTGTTAATTATTTCCTATATATTCTGTATAGAACTTGTTTGTATATATTTCTTTGCCTGTTGATTTTCCCATTAGACTGTAGGCTCCTTGAGGGCAAGGATTGCCTTTTGTTTGTTTTTGTACCCTCAGTGCTTAGCAGTGTGTTTGGCAAAGTAGTAGGGGTTTAATAAACTTTTGGTAATTGATTGATTGTTTCCTTTTTGATTCATCTCAGAGATTTATTGTCTCACAAAAGGATCACTTAGCTCGGTATTTTTAGCAGTTAGTTGAACACATCATTGTTGGGCCCATCCTCACATCTAAATGGATGCTGGGACCTTTTGGGTCACATCGTAGAGACTTAGATTTGAGCTTATATTTGGAGGTATCTTGCAGTAAATTCTAGGAGGGTGTGATGTGAAACAGAAAATAGTATTTTGGGAGTTGCTTGCAAGATGGGACCTGGTTTGTATAAACTCAGAACCAGGGACCCTGAGCCATAAATAACATGTACAGTATTGCTATTGAGGGGTTTCTTGTTTAGCTATCATTGGACTAAATTTGGGATATTGGGATAACCTCATCATTGGTACTCTATCTCATCACTACCCTTTGTCTCTCTGATTGGAGAACAGGGCCATGAACTTTAACTTTTCTTTCCATTTAAGCAGAGAACTCAGCTCAGACATTACCTTATTTCACCTGGCTGCACTAATTTGGGACTTCTCCATTCTCCATTTTCAGTTTCCTTTGGTGTGTTGTCAGAGAAATTTGCAGTAAAATTTCCCCCCGGTTTTCGGTTTTCCTTTTAATTTTGGCTGCAATGTTTTGTTTGTGCAAATTTTTTTTTAATTTCATGTAATCAAAATCATCCATCATATTGCTCGTGAACCTCTCTGTCTCTTGTCTGGTCATACACTCTTTTCTTATTCATGGATCTGACAGGTAAAATTTTACGCTCCCCTAATTTGCTTATGATATCACACTTTATAGCTAAATCATGTACCCATTTTAACTTTGTGTTGGCATGTGGTGTGAGGTATTGATCTATGCCTAGTTTCTGCCAAACTGCTTTCCAGTTTTCTCAGCAATTTTTGTCAAATAGTGAGTTCTTGCCCCAAAAACTTAGGTGTTTGGGTGGGATTCTTGATATACAATGATGATACTTAGGATAACTGAATCACAAAAATTAAAAGAAAAAAAACCTTTGTATCGTGAGTCCAACCATCCCTATCATTTTTTATCAGATATATTTCTTTTGAACAAAATTTTCTGTTCCTATATTACAGTGTTAAATTCCAGATGGTACACTGTCACCCAATGACTGTGACCATTTTTACTTCCTCATGTTAAAATCTCATGTTGATTTTTTATACTCATTAGAACAATATAAATGATGAGTAATAAACAAACAGAATTGTACAAGTATTCTTTATTTGAATGGTAGCTGTGCCATACACACACACACACACACACACACATCCTGCTCTGTGCCGTATCACAAGTGGCACCCCATCTGAAATCTGATCCATCTTTTTGCCTGATTTGTAGAATTCCTAGCTTCCTTCTAAGTATGCTAAGATGCCACTTTGTCTATGGGACTTACCTGATTCTCCAGTTGTTGGATCAGTCTCCCTGAAATCATTTTGTATTTATCCACTTGTGTACATTTCCTGTCTCCCTCAGTGGAATGTAGCCTCTTTGAGGGGAGGAATTGTTTTGTCTTTATCTTTGGGTGTCAGATATGGGGGCTGGTGAGCAGCATGCTCAGATGAAAACCTCTGGGTGGAAAGGTCTGGAGAGGCTTCTTCTGGAGGGCATCATAATGTGTATGTGATTTGGATTGCAACTTGTTCTAGTTTGCTAGCCATATAATGAAAATGAAACTTTTTGAGAAGGCAAGATTAACATTCATGAAACAATTAGATAACAACAATAGCAAATATTTACTTACATCATCTCTTGTGATGAGAGGCATGCTAAAAAGTGGAGAAGTTGAGAGAAGTGAGAGAAAGAAGCTCATTCCTTTAAAGATCCTTTAAACTATTCTTTTCCAACTTTGAGGGAGTGAATTCTTCTCCTTAACTTGTTTGCCTCAGTTTCCTCATCTGTAAAATGGAGATAATAATGGTACCTACCTCCCAGAGTTTTTGTGAGTTTCAAATGAGATAATAATTGTAGCATATAGTTCCTGGAATATATAGGTGCTACATAAATATTATTATTATTATTATTATCATTATTATTAATTGATGGGGCAATCCACTGTTGGGCTGGACCAAGTAGACTGATCAACTGCTGTGGGAGGATATTACTGTGGGAGTGGGAGGATGTCCTTCCCCCATTAGATTGTGAGTTCCTTGAGGGCAGGGACTGTCTTTTCTTTTTGTGTCCCCAGTGCTTAGCATGTTACCTGGCATATAAAAGATGCTTAATAAGTATTTGTTGACTGACTGACTTGGCTTCCATTGGCTCTAATTGCTGACGAGACCTTTTTGAGAGCTTTGCTGGGTCTTCCAGTCTCACCAGTCAACTGGTGCCCTCCCCTGTCCCTCCTTCACCCCCTCAGAATACCTGATTGCCTAATACTAGAAAAGGATAAACACAAAAGTAACCAAAGTGTTGTCAGGTGGGGAGAAGTAGGTAGCTTCTCCCAACCCAGCAACCCAAAGCAATCCTCCTCACTCAAAGCTGAGTGAAGAGAACAGGTTATTTGTCCAATTGAATCTTCTATGAGTACACTGATTTATGGTTCAACCTCTCCTGAGTCATCAGTCTTCCAGATCCTCAGCCAACCAGAAGACTTTTCATTATCATCCAGTATTAACCCTAAGTCATCATGGCAGAAAAGGAAATTCCATGAGTTGGATTGGAAGCAGGGACTATTTTGCATTTTCAGTATAATCCATCAGAAAGGACAAATTGGAGCAGGCTCCAGGGATTAAGCCCTCATGATTTCAGTGTAGTTTTGGAGGAAAGGCCTGAGCCTTGCCAGCATGTGCCCACTTTTAGAACATAAAGGAAAACTGACCAAAAGGTTCCTAGTGGAAAGTGCATTTGAATCAGAGTTCATATCCAGTTTTTGAGTCTGAAACTTTTAGTCTTTGACAAGTTACTGAATCTCTTTGGGTCTCATTTTCCTCATTAGTAAAAAGGAAATGCATAGTGGATAGAGAGCTGGGCTGAATCAGCAAATCATGATTTCAGATCACTTAATGTCCCTGACTCAATTTCCTCATCTGTTAAATGGGAACAATACCACAGGCAAATTTTAAAGCAGTTTATGTCATTATTGATATTATCATTGTTCCTTGCACTAATTACCTCAGTGTTATTGTGAGGAAAGTGCGTTGTAAATTGTAGAGTGCTACTGGAAATGTTAATTATTAATCGCTAATGATAATGGCTAGCATTTAATAGTGCTTTAACGTTTTCGAAGACCTTTACAAGTGCTATCTCATTTGATCACTAGTGGTTAAGGAATTTTATGGCTTTCCATTACGATCTTAAAATTTTAAAAAAATTGTCTTTTCAATTAACAAATTTTTATTTTGCCTCCCTCCCACCTCCTCCTTTGGGGGTGGTGGTGATGGCGGTAGTGAAAAAGATAAAATTAAAACCCTCATAACAAATATGTATAGTTAAGCAAAACAAATTCCCGCATTGGGCATGTTCAAAGATCTCGCCATTCTCCCTCCTTCCCTCCTCTCCTCCTCCCCTCTTCTTTCTACATTTTGGCTTAACGGGCCCTTTAAGAAAGTAAGGGTCTGGAGGACGGAAAAGGAAGCGGAAGCCCGCACATGCACTATAACCTTAACAAGTAGGACTTGTTCCGGGATCTTCGGCGCAAGAGTAGTTTGTAGGAGGGAGTACTTCGACCCGGTACGTACGACGAGCGCGCTTGCGTCATGGCGTAGTCCTAGAGCGACGTGCAGCGTGCCGGCTTTGCGTTTCCTCGGAGACTACGACCGGGCGGTACCGACCGAGAGGTGGCAGCAGCATGGGGACTCCCGGCGGCCTGCACTCGGACTTCGAGGCGCTGCTCACGCGTTTCCAGGAGACCGACAGCGTCCGATTCGAGGATTTCACCGCGCTCTGGAGGGACATGAAGTTTCATACTATCTTCTAGTGAGTGTGTCTCCTTCCAACTCTTGCACCCGGAGCGCGGAATTACCTGCCCGTCAGCAGCGCCCGTCCTGGCGTCGTCCCCTACCCCTGCCCCAGCATTTCCCTTCCCCTCCCTCGGTTTCCTTCTCCCCTTCCCTGTCCCCCCATCCCAGCTTCCTCTTCTCCGGTTCCAGTGTCCTCCTCTCCCCCTCCCCGCTTTCCTCTACTCTCCCCCAGTTTCCCCTTCCCTGTCCCCCCGGCTTCCCCCTCCCCAAACTTCCCTTTCTCCCTCCTTCCACCCTTCTGTCTCTCCACACCTTCCCCCTGTCCACATGCCCCTTCCCTACCCTTCCCCTGTCCACATGCCCCTCCTCCTCCATCCCCCCAGTTCTTCCTTCCTACACCCCCAGCTCCTCCCGTCCACCCCGGATTCCTTTATCCATCTTCCTTGCCCTTTGTGTGTTCCGGCACTTTCCAGAAGGCAGAGCTGGGAAGCAGCTTGGAGGTCTTCTCGGGCAATCCCCTCAGTTTACAAAGGAAGAAACTGAGCCACGGTGAGGTGAAGTGGCTTGCCTAAGATTGTGCATGTAGTTAATGGCAGAGACAGGATTTGAACTCAGTTCTCCGGAGTCCCAAAGCCCCCTTTTAATGCCAGAATTGGATTAAATAAAGGATCTTGGCCTGGAGGGACCCGGTGCCCTCTGGGTTGTGCTGCTACCGCAATTCGGCCATGCCAACCAAGTGAAGTGGAACCCCCTCCCACTACAGAAACAAGGCCTTCCTCTTTCCTTCCTCCTTTTCAGTTCTTCCTCCCTTCTCCTCATTCACTATCTTGCAGCTTCTTCTCTTCCTGAGAGACCCTAGGGGGTCACCATCCCCTCGATGCCAGTCCTTGATTTGACTCGGGCAAATCACACACACACTCCTTTCTTATCCCCCTGCTTCCCTCCCCCTCTTTCATGCAGCCTCCCATTTTGTAGTCACACAAAAAAAGCATTGATTCAAATGTAGTCAGGGTGTTTCAAGGTTTTGTCCATAATGCTTAAGGCCTGCCTTTCCACTGTTACCTCCACCAGACTTACATTTAGAATGAAGGCTCTTACTAGTCTCTCTGCTGTCATGATTTTGCCGTTATGGTCCTTGCCTGTTGCATTCATTCACCCGTCCTGCATTTCTGTTGTCTAGGGTGTTTGAGAAGCAAATAATTTCTTGAGGTCTTTTTTCCCCCTAAGAATATTTCAAATGATTTTTTAAATTATTTGATGTGAATCTTTTTTCATTTGTGGTTAAGACCAGATTCTTAGAATAGGTCACCTTGCACTGCTTTGATTGGATGGAGATGGCCGCCTGTCAACAGATGTTAAGTTAATGCAGGGGTTCTTAATCTTTTGTGTTATGGACTGTTTTGGCAGCATAGTGAAACCTGCAGACACTTTGTTTTTAAATACATAAAATAGCTAGGAGAACAGTTCATGGCCAAACAAGGGATAGAGAGGATCACTGAAGATAAAATTTTGATCACATAAAACTAACTTTTTTGCACAGATAAAACCAGTGCAGCCAGAATTAGAATGAGAGCCACTGCCCAACTGATAAAATGCTCAAATGATATGAAAAGGTAGTTTTCTAAAGAAGGACTCTAAGCTATCAATGTTCACATGAAAACTGTTTCAAATTACTAATTGTTAGAGAGATGCAAATTAAAGCAACTCTGAGGTAGTACTTTATAGCAGTCAGATTGGCAAAGTTGACAAAAAAGGAAAATGACAAGTGTTGGAAGGACCAGTGGGAAAATAGTCAGTTTTGGTGGCATTGGGATATGGTCCAGCTATTTTGGAAAACAATTCAGAACTGTCCCCCAAAAGTTATTAAATTAAATACCTTATGATCAGTGATATTTACTAATAGGCTCGTCACTCTTAAAAAGAAAGAGGAAAAAGGACCCATCTGTTAAAAAAAATTATAGTAGCTCTTTTGTAGTAGCATGGAATTAGAAACTAAGGACAAGGGTTGTTCATCACTTGGGGAATAGTATATGAATATAATGGAATAATATTTTGCCATAAAAAATGTGGAAGGGGACGGTTTCAGAGAAACTTGGGAAGACACATGAACTGATGCAGAGTAAAATGAGAACAAGTGAAGTAATTTATACATAACGCTGTAAGAAATAACATTGTAAGAATTCTGATAAATGCAGTGACTGACCATGACGATTGACGATGAAGCATGCTATCCACCTTGTGATAGATGTGAGGGAAGCATGGTGTTTAATGAGACATATTTTTGACACCATCACTGTGAGAATTAATTTTGCTTGCCTATACATATTTGTTACAAAGGTTTTTTCCCCCCTTAATGAGTGGGAATGGGAATGAAAATAAATTTTTGTTAACTGAAAAAAAAATTAAAAAAATAAAATATGTAATATTACAAAGGAGACCAAAGATTAGTGAAATAAAGGTGTAATTTTTTCCCCTCCAAACTCATGGAGTCCCTGAAATCCATATATGGACAAGTTTTAAAAACTCTGATTTAATGCCAAGTGTGTGCCAGGCACAGAGGATACACAAGACAAAATGAAACCTTCAGGGTTTTTTTTTTCTTATTAGGGTAAATGATGTGTATTTTATAGATATATAAAGAGTAAGATAACATAACTTTTTGGGGAAGACACAGCTAGTCGGGGATATCAGAAAAACCCTCATGTGGGAAGTAGCATTTGAGTTAAGCTTTGAGGAAAACACGGGATTCTAGAAAGCAAAAGTGAGGAGGGAACAGATTCCAGGGATATGGAGGCAGAAGACCGAATGTTCTATGTGAGGAGTTAGATGGATTGTGAAGCAGGTAAAGGGTATACTATAAGCCTGAGAATAAGTAAGTAATTGTGGAAGCAGTAATGCAAGCCTGAAATAAAGGGTTATTCTAGTAAAGTTGAGAAATAGAGAAGAGGAAAAAGAAAAGTGGAGAGAAGAATGGAGGAGTATGGTAGAAGTATTAGAAGCAGCAAAACATAGGATAACAAACTGTATTGCCTTTGGAAAATAGAAAAGCTCCTTAAAGAACCCCAAGCCTCTCATGAAAACAGAGGCTTATCTTTTTAATGTAAACATTCTACTTGATATATATACATACACATGAAAAACCAGTGAGAAACTTCTGAAAAACAGGAGTTAAAAAAATGTCATCAAGGAAATGCATTATAGGAAGAGAAGAGGGACTAGTCACGTGGCAAAGGCAGAGAATGACAGGTTGTCGCTAGAGTGCTACACTGGTTGGTACCTTTTCAGTGTCATGAGAAATGGAGGAAATACTCCAGCATGTTGGGTAGTGAACTTAAAGGAGAAGGTAGACAGGAGTCAAACATAAAGAGTAGGCATGGATGGGCTTTGGTCTCCGTTGTGGGAGGGATCTCTCAAAATCAGTGAGGTCACAGACCCAGTTGAGTGTCTGAAAAGTTTCATTCCATTAAATCTCAGCAATAAATGTGAAGTGAAATTTGTCTTGTATTAGGATCTGATCTTTTTTGTTTCTTGTGTATAAAGAAATTTGGGGCAATGATTTTAATCGGATTTTGTTACTTGTGAGTTATTAGATTTCTCTATGGTTTTTCATCCTAGATTGTAGCTATCTTGTAGTTTTTGACCTGGAAGTTTTCTACTCTATCCCACTCCATTTTTAGTTTAAACTCCATTTGGTTAATCTTGTAAGACTCCTGGCAAATACATTTTCTACCCAACACTGTTAGGTATACTGGATCCCTGGCCAAGAACCCTTATTTGTGTATTTTAACCTGTGTTCCAGAAATCCAAATTCCTTTCTCAGACCCTTTCTAAGATCTCTGCCTTTCTCTTCTGAAGGTTTCATCTTTGATAAACAGCAGTGATGAAAATATCAGATTTCCACTTAATGTCTTTAGTCTTTTGCTAAGAATTTCATAATCTTTAGCTATGTTTTCTTGCTTTCTTTTTTTTTTTTTGGTGAGGCATTTGGGGTTCAGTGACTTGCCCAGAGTTACACAGCTAGTGAGTGTTGTGTGTCTGAGGCCGGATTTGAACTCAGGTCCTCCTGACTCCAGGGCCGGCGCTTTATCCACTGCTGCCCCAGCTATGTTTTTTTAATGTTCTTTTGTCATATCGTTTGTCCTCATGTGAATCAACAGAAAAATTCTTTTTCTTCTCTGTTACAAAAAGATAGCTCTTCAATTCTTTTAAGCCATAATATGCTTTCTTATTTTCTAGTGGCAGAACGAGACATATGGAAAAGAACAAGTTTACAAAGGAAGCTTTAGCTCTGTCTTGGAAATATTTTCTACCTCCATACACCTTTCAGATCAGAGTTGGTGCTTTGTATCTTATGTATGGACTGTATAATACACAACTCTGTCAACCAAAGCAAAAGGTAATATTTTATAGCTTTCTCATAGAGTAATCTGAAACAGATAGAATTTATAAAATATATTAATAGCAGAATGTTTTGGTTAAAAAGGCCAGTCTTCTAACTGTATGCATGTAATGTATATTGAAATATGTATTTAATAACATTTTTCTTTTCTTGTTTTTAGATTAGAGTATGCCTTAAGGACTGGGATGAAGTTATGAAGTTCCAGCAAGATCTGACAAACGCACAACATTATGATGCTTCTTACATTCTTAGGAAGCTGAGACTAGACAAAGCCTTCCATTTTACAGCAATGCCCAAACCGGTATGTTAATATAGTGACACAGTTCAAAACATTTATTAACCCTTTCCTATGTGAACAGCATTGTCTTAACCAGTGGGGGTGATAAAAAGTTTAGACAATACATAATCCTTGCTCTTGTAGATCTTAAAATCTGGTAGAGAACAGGAAGGGAGAAGGGAAAAACATTTATGTAGTGCCTACTATGTGCCAGGCACTGTGCTAAGTGCTTTGCAAATATTATCTCATTTCATCTTCACAACAGTCCTGGGATGTAGGTGTTGTTATTATCTCCATGTTAAAGTTGAGGAAACTGAGGCAGACAGGTTTAGTGACTTGCCTAAGGTCAAATAGCTAACAAGTGCCTGAAGCTGGATTTGAACTTGGGTCTTTCTTATTCCAGGCCTAGTGCTCCGTCCACTGCGTCACCTACCTGCCTGGACTAGTGGGGACTTAAGACAGCAATACAGATAATTATGGTACATAGTATTACATACATGCATTAGAATTATCCACCATCAGTTATAAAACATAGATTCTTTTTTGAAATCCTTGAGAGATGATTTGGTTCCTTTTTTTCTCCCTTTAATTCTTTTATTAATTTATCAGTTTCTTGAGGCTTCTTGCAGTTGTTCCTTTCTCATTTACAGTTAAGAGCTACTGGAAGAGTGCCTTTCTTCTGGAGATTCCTTTTCTAATTTTTTTTTTAACCTCAGAGTTTCTTCATTTTATCATGATTGTTGTTTGTTCATTTGTTTAGTTTCTTTGCTGTTTTTTGGTAGAGTCTTTCTTCAGTGAGACTTTTTTTCTCTCCTTTTGTTAATTGTTCTTTTGCTTTACTTTAGTGAATATCTTGTTTTGAATATTTATAGGGCAAGTGGACCTAGGAGTGACAATATATTCAGCCATCTTACTGGAACACAAAAATATATTAGAGTTACAAAGCAAAATGTTGTTTGAAGTCTCAGGTCTGAAGTGGAGAGAGGAAATATATCAGGGAAGGCTTCTTGGAGGATGTGGTATTTGAAGGATGGATAGGAATACGACAGGTGAAAAGAGAGAGGGAAGACATTACAGGACTAAGAAATAGCCTGGGCAAAGGCGTAGAGGAATAAGAGTGCAATATTTGTTCAGGGGGCTAGAGAGTTGTCAAATTAGAGGAGTAATAGAAAATAAGACTAGAAGGGTAATAATATTGTTGGGTTGTGAAAGGCTTTGATGCCAGGCAAAGGAGTTTGACTTTTACTAGGGAGGCAATAAGGAGTTTCTGAAGATCTCTGAGCAGAGGAATGACCTGACCATGTTTATGAATTAAGAAAGATTATTTTGACAGAAGTATAAAGGATGAGTTGGAAGGGGGAGAGATTGGAGGTGGGAAAACCTATGACGGACTTTTGTAACATTCTAGATTCGAGGTAAGGAAGCTTGTATGAGGGTGATTGTATTGAGATTAGAGTAAGGGAGACAAACTTGAGAGGTGTTTCATTGATGGATTTTATAGGACTTAGTAATTAATTGGATAGTAACAGGAAAGAGATAGGAAGGGTAAAAAAAACTCAATTTACAATCATGGAAGACATATATATGGGAAGACATATATATGTGTGTATATATATATATATTCTGACAGGGAGAAATAATGAAATCAGAAGGAAGAGCAGATTTAGGCTGGAAAATAATGAACTCAGTTTTAGACTTGTTGAGTTTAAGGTGCTGGTGGCATATCTAGATCAGGTGTTCTTAATCCATAAACCTTTTTTTTTTCTTTTTTTAAATTTGGTAACTATTTCGACTTTACTGGTTTCTTTTGTAATCCTACATATTTAATTTTATGGCTTTTAAAGTATTATTCTAAATGATATTCTGGCTTCATCAGACCACCAGATGGGTTCATGACACAGAAGAAGTTAAGAACCTCTGATAAAGATGGAGACATACTATCATTGGGTGGAGATATTAGATCTAGAGCGTAGAAGAAAAGCCAGGACTAGAAATATACGTGTGGGAATCATCTGCCAAGAACGGGTAATTGAAGCTGTGGGAGTGAATAAGATTGCCCACAGAGAATGTAAGAGGAAAGAGGGCCAAGGAGAGACCTCTGGGGAATTCTTGCATTAGAGGATTGTGAAGAACAAGGGAGACAGTGCTTAGAGAGAAAGAAAAAAATACCAGGAGATGTGGTGTCTCTGAAGCCACAGAAGGAGAGAGTATCCAGTTGATAGGTATTGAGCTACAGTGAGGTCAAAGAGGGTGAGGACAGAAAAGGACTTCTGGACCTGACAGTGAGGAGGTCATTTGTGACATGATAAAGCCATATATCAGTAGAATGGAGGTGACAGAAGTGTTGTGAGGAGTTGAGAGAGTCTCACTTGAGGAAGTAGAGGCAACAGGTTTCCACAGCTTTTTCAAGAAGTGTAATAATGAAAAGGAAGAGATAGATGGGATGGTAGTTGGATGGGTTAGAATGGTCAAGGTAAGTTTTCTAAATTTGGAGTGATCGTGTTTGTAGCAGATGGGAAGGAGGCAGTTTTGATGGAATGCATTAGAGGAGTTGACTGCTTACACAGGGTTCTAGAGTAGGTAGGAGGAAGTGCTACCGGGGGGACATACAGAATGGTTAACTTTACTCTGAGGGTAGGGATAACTCTCCTGTGACCTGAGGGAAGCAGGAGAGAAAAGGTGATGACGCTGGGAAAGTTTGAGGACTGAAGGTAGGGAACTGAGGAAGTTCACATTGAGTAACTTCAGTTTTCTTTATAATATAGGGTTAGCGCATAGTGGTGGGGAAAGAAAGAGTTTCGGACAGTTCCCATAGAGAATAAGATAGGGAGTTAGTGTTACCAATATCATCAGATAACCTTAAAAGTATGACTTGAAAAGCTTTCTGATTGAAACCTAATTTTGTCTTTAAAATGAAGATACATATGTGTGTTTCTAGAGACTGCATATAAAAACAGATGTACCAGGGTACAGTCCTGATGATTGCATGTGCTTTTACCCTGAATCTTTGAGCATAGTTGTGTAGTAGAAATCATGGAATAAGTTGTTAAGAATGACATAAAGTAAAGGTCTTTTTATGACAATATTCATTGAGCAGAATAGCAAAATATGACTGTTTGAAAGTGATTAAACTATATGACCATTTTGTTTCACTTCAAAACAGGGTTGTTGGGGCAGCTAGGTAGCGCAGTGGATAGAGCTCCAGTCTTGGAGTCGGGAGGACCTCAGTTCAAATGCAGCCTCAGACCAAACACTTGACACTTATTAGCCTTGTGACCCTGGGCAAGTCACTTAACCCCAATTGCCTTAAAAAAAAAAACCAAACAAAAAAGTCAAATAGAATTTGTTGGGGCAGCTAGGTGGTGCAGTAGATAGAGCACCAGCCCTGAAGTCAGGAGGATCTCAGTTCAAATGCAGCCTCAGACCAAATACTTAACACTTATTAGCTGTGTTACCCTGGTCAAGTCACTTAACCTCAATTGCCTTAAAAAAAAACAAACCAAACCAGGTTTGTTGATCAGAGTAATTATATTTTGATAGTATATTAGATTTCTAGTAAGGCTTTAATGTAACAGCTTTTAGTATTTCTGAATTTGACTATATTCTGTGTTGCTAAAGGGTATCTCAGAGGCATAAAATGGGAAGACTGAAAGACTTAGGATTCATTGAATAATAAATCTACCATATACAAGGCTATTTTAAATTTATTTTTATTTTTCATTATAGTATTTTCATTGGTATCCTTATATCAGTACTGTAAATACACATGTGTTTTTCTAAACAGCCAACTGCATTAAATTATTACCATTTTATGTAGCTTTCATACAGAATGAAAAAAAATATTCCACGAACTGAAGTTACAGAGGAATTTAAGGAACCTAATGACCGGGTAATGAAGCTTATCACTGCTGATACACTAGAGGTAATTTTATTTTTATTCTCTGAATGATTATCAGAGAATTTTACTAGGTGCTGCTGATTTCTCAGATTAATTTACCTCATCATAGTAAAATACTATAAGTATTACCCCATACTCTCAGTTTTTACTATAAATCTTGAAATTTGATGTAGTTTAATGATAGGTCCTCAGTTAAAATTTGAAGAGCCCAAATTAATGTTTAAAATTTTCTTTGATTGTGTATTATAATCTGACCAAAATGGTAGTCCACGAGGGAGTCCATCAGGCTATTGTTTTTATATATATCATATGTATATTTCATGTATATCATTTTCCTGTATTTCTTGGATATCAGATATTTATAAGATTTGCTACACATATTCCTATTAAATTACTTCTTATTCTAGTTGTATCTTTTTTTTTGTATAGAATCTTTTAAATTTTATATAATCAAAATATTTATTTTATGATTACTTTTATCTTTTTTTTTTTTGAGGTATCTCCTTCCAGTTTGCTCTAAGACCTAAATTGCAGAATAGTTGCTGATCTTCACTGTTAGAGGGAATTTCCTTGGCAGAAATTTTTTTTTTACACTAATGAAACTCCAGGTCCAAATCAAAAATTTGAAGATTAATATTTGTATTAAACCTGACAGCATTCTCAAATACTTCTTAGTCCTAATACTTTCTCTACATTCTTCCTGTTCCTTCATACTACCCTTTTCACAGAGGGTTAAATACAAGTGGGGGACCAATCTCTTTGTGATCTGTTCTTGCTCAAATTTTTCATTACCCGTGAAAGCCTGAATTTAAGAGTTTAAAGGTCCTACCTGCAGTGGCTCTCATTTTTGGACATAATGTCTGACAAGTCCTCCCTTGTTTCTGTAACTCATTCTGAGCATACCTCTCTGATGACCTTGGACTTGGGATTCTGTCTCCTCAGTAGAATTAAGGGAAAGAGAATAAGGTGTATTCTTAGCTCTAAATCACTGAGCCTGGTTAAAGGGGAAACATTTTGGCAAACGGTATGCACAGGACCGTTTTAGGAATAGACCAACTGATTTAGGTTCCCCATCTGAAACATGAGCCTCAGCTTGCCCAGTATGGCCTTGCTATGGAGATTTGATGTCTCAAATTAAGCTCTAATAGCTGTTTTCTCACTTTCTGTTGACTTTTCATAGGCTTTTTCTCATCTTTGGCCTAGAAACACTAGGGAACTAAATGACCCAGGATTCCAGAGTGAAAATAAAAGCTATGGAATTCCGTTTACAGTTGGCATCTGTTTATGCTAGTTGGTCCCCAGGTGTATGGGCTCTAGATCTAGTTGTCTGTTATTGATTCTTGGCCCCTCTCATCCCCATCTCTAGTCTTTTAGTTCACATATTTGTTTTTTTCTTTGATATTTTAGGCTATCATTCAGCTGGACAGGTTTATCACTCAGATATGTCATGTTGTTAGAAGGCAAGGAACTGGATGGTTTTGAAACTCCTCATTCAACCCATACTTTAAAATCTCCATTGTCTTGATTGAGCCTTTTCCCTGTCCCAAATCAGCTTAAAATGTGGATATTTTTTCCATGTTCTCCATTAAGGACCTTGTATTCTGCCTGATGGTTGGTGTTAAAGTTGGATACTAGATGGAATTGTGTCAAGAACCTGCACGTCCTCTGGAAAACAGAAGGATGTGATTGGTGACTGCAAAAGAATCTTTAGATTGGGGAACAGTCAACATAACTGGTATTATGCATTTGTATGTGCATCTAGAGCATATGGGTGGTTGCTGGAGTTGCTTCCTCAACCTGCACAACCCTCCATACAGAGTGACAGGAGCCAAGAAAGAGGGCCTTTATGGTAATACTGGTGTTACTGTTACCTTGTGCTCTGTTGGCCAGTTTGTTCCCAAAAACTAGTAGGAGCTCAGAAATCCATGATTCAAGTAGATTTTATAAAACTGAATCAGATTTTGCAGCTTTTCATCAGTTTTGTTTTTTGCTATGAGCTCTGGGTAAGGTGATAGAAATAGATGGACTGAACCTCAAAAGAGAGATTACCCAGTTATGGGGACAGAGGGAGAGGGTTTGAAAGTAGAGGCATTGAACAAGGAGAAGGTTGACGCTTCCTCTAAGCCTGTTGTATTAGGGTACGTGAAAGGTAAGGATTACACACACACACACACACACACATGCATACATATATACATACATACATATACACATACATACACACATACACATCTGTGAAAACCAGAAGTTGGAAAGAGATTTGGGATGAAGAGAAGATTGTTAATAATAGAGCAGGGATTGAGATATGATGTGTGGAGGACTAGACCTGTGATGAATTGGAATCTCTGTGCCTCTGTGTCTAATCCTAATTTCATTTCTGTTTTTAACTCATTTTATTTCTAATCCTAATGTTGACCAAGACTATGGGAAGACATAGGAGGAGGATGATATTTTTATCTCAGTAGCTGGCAAATCTGTGCCGTAGGAGGTGGGAGTTTTCCACCCATGTGAAAGGTTAATGGGGGGCCCAGCTCTCCAGGATTTTATTTGATGACTTAACGTGGTATTCCTCTGGGAGTTTGTGAATCAGTCTTTTCGGCTTGTCACTCAAAATATGGGGATCTGGGGATGGGTTAGTGGCATGTGGAGGCAGCACAGTTCTGGTCAGGTATATGGAGCAGTAAACACCTGATGAATGAGAAGCACTGAGCTCAGGCTTGACACCTGGGAAGTAAAGTCATTCCAAAATGCTGGGGAATGAAGCAATTCTAAAAGATCAGTGGAGCATTTGCCCATATGCTCTAGATTAGGGCTTCTTAAACTTTTTCCACTCATGACCCCTTTTCTCCTTAGCTGGTGTTGCGTGGCCTGAGGGCATGTGCAGTGCAAAGTGTTCAGAACCACGGCTAGAGTGAAGTTGCAAGTTGCAACATGGACAAGCGCTGCCAGAAACACCTCGGTTTCATTGTGCCCTCGGTTTCATTGCACGTTTGGTTCCTAATTAATTTTTGGTCATTGAACTTTCAGAAACCTTTTACTGTTGCCAAAATTTTTGTGACCCCATAGGGTCATGACCCACAGTTCAAGATCTCTGCTGGATGTCTTTTTATCACATTTTGTGTGCAATATTATCTCTGATTCTTTTCCTCCCATTGTTTTAATATGTTTCTCTTCCTGAGCTGTCTTGTAAAATAAGATTGTGTTACCTTCATCGTGACTTTCTTTGGTATGTACTTGGTTTGGTTCAGCTTTTCTTTCTGACTTCATCTTTTGTTTTTTGCAGCTTTTATCATTCTCAAAACCCTATGTTTACATTTTATTTTTTCTTTCCTGGTGTATCCAGAGTCCCTCATCTATCCGGAAAGATTTAAGGGATGGGCTGTTACTGCTTCAAGTTTTTTTGTATTTTGTGGAAAATCTAACATCACTCCCATATTCTCAAAAATATATTGGCATTTATCTTTTGTTTCCAGGAAATTATGAATATCCATGATCATTACCAAGAAATGAAGCAAATAATTTCAGCTGATAAATCCCAGCCTGACAAAGCCCTCAGCTTGATAAAAGATGAGTTTTTAGTTAACATTAAAAACCTGGTTTTAGAACATAAACAATGGCATGAAGACAAAAAGGTATGTGGATGCCTCTTTAATAGCTCAACTAAAAATATGAAGGAAAGTAGTAACTAAAGTGAGTCTTAATTTTTCATAAATATTAGTTACCAGTGGTGTATAATATATTCATTCATTACTGTGTCCCAAATATGTAGTAGTTATAGCTTCTACAGTATGAAGTTAGCAACATTATTGTTCATGTTTGTGAAATAAGACTTTTTGAAGCTGTGTTTAAATTCACCTTAGTTATTAACACAACTTCTCATATTAAGTCAACTTCCTTTTCCTTAACTCCCCTTCTCCCTTCTAATCAGGTACTAAGGTTTATTGATTCTTTCTTTGTAACATCTCTGAAATATTCTTCTCTGGAACCCTACTTTCTGGCTTATATCACTCCTGTCCTACAGTACTATAATATCCTTGTAATTAGTCTCCATGCATCTAGACTCTCTGCTCTTCATTCCATCCTCCACACAGTGTTGAAATAATAATAATACTCATAGGTCATGGGGTCATCCTCCACTCCCTCATCAGAAACACACTTCTTAATTGTCAGTGGTTACCCATTTTCTTTAAGATGAGATACAAACTCCTTAGCCTGGCCTCACATCTACCCTTCCAGTCCTATTCTATACTATACTAGTCCTCTTAATGTACTCTTTTTTTCCAAACAAATTGCATTGTTTATTTTTCTGTGGATTTGACACTCTTATCTCCTGCCCCTCTACATTCTTACTGCCCTCTGTGCCTAGAATATACAGACTACATATCTACTTTAGGAAGTCCTTGTCTGTCCTTAAAAACATAGTTCGTATGTATGTATGTATGTATGTATAAAAAATAATCTCCAATCCCCATCCCTCAGTAGAATGCAAGTTCCTTGAAGGGAAGGACTATTAAGTTTTTGGCTTTGTGCCCCCAGCACCTAGTAAAATGCATTTCAAAAGTAGGTGCTTAATGAATGTTGTGGAATTGAACCCCATAATTATAAATTATATTTTCTAGGAGCAAATTACTTACCAAGGTTTTACCCTAAAAGTTGCATTGGTTGGCATTATGCCATTCCTAAATTTCTAGAAATCATATTTTTAAGGTCCTTAGTACACGTTTTCTACTGGCTGTTCAGCTTAATGTAAGAATTACTGAAGCTGAAGCATTGAATTATTGAAGCACCTACATCCAATGTCAACTACAGATTCTTCATATTTTGATAAATAACTTTAGGTACTGTTTCTTCTCTGGTAATGCTGGTTTTGAAAAGTGGAATTTTCTAAAAAATTAAAAATAAAGTTTAATTTTATATGCAGTATGTATTTCAAGTACCGAAAATATTGGACACTTATGTTGAAAAGTAAATGGCTTTTCTTTGTTTAGATGGTCTCTCATTTTCACTTAGCCTGGTTCTCCTTTCTAACCTTGATGGAGAACATCAAGCTTTGGGATTAAGTCATAGAGACTTCCTGCTGGCTGGCTTCATTTTGTTTTATCTGAAATGCTGGCATATTTTTAATATGTTATCTTTCTAAGACATTTTAGTTTTTGGGTTCAAGATATAGTTTGGTAGCTAGTTAGAGATGGTGAGCAAGGCTAATTAATGGTAGAAAGGAGGGTGCCCCCCAGATCATAGGATTTAGAGCTCGAAGTGGATCCTAGAGACCATCTAACACCAAGCCATGTTTTACAGATGAGACAGTGGACCCAGAAGAAGATTTGCCCAGGGTCACATAGGTCAGGAGCATTAGAGTCAGATTGGAGCTCAGGAGCTTACTCCAGAGCAGTGCTCTTTTCACTGTTCATTGCTGGCTGAAGTAACTTGTAGTAGTCAAACTAACAACTTTGCCTCACTCCCTTAATTTCTCCAAAATCCTAGATAACAATGATTTTAAAAATGTTTTGTTTTTAATACTATTCTGCCGAATCAGATTAGATGATCAGTCAGGCATATTGTTAGTATTCATCTGTATATGAACAAGATATTTTTATTGAAAGTTATAAAAAACAAACATATTCTGGATTTGAGGAAACGTGAAGGAAAAAGTGTGTTATCTGATTTATAGGATTAACTTATAATTGCTTTCAAATGACATTTCATGTTGCTGTAAGTTAGAAATCATTCAATGTGACAGCAGAGTGAAGCTTAACTGTGAATTAATTTCAGGTTGTGGAGGATCCTAGAAAAATGTGATAACTTTTAAAAATATTTTTAATCATTAGAAATAATTGTTTCTCATTAATTGCTTTTGTTCTGAATTACTTTGAATTATGAAATGTTATTCTTTGTTGTAACAGAAGGTATTTGTAAAAGTTAAAAATGAAGATGACCAGACAGAAAAGGAAGGAAGTTCACAAGAATTGGAAGTAAGGAAAATATGCTTTAAAATTTCTTATAATGGAACAAATAGATTAACTTTCAAGTCATTTGTAAAGAAAGTGATCTTTAGTCAGTATTGAAATAATTACCTCGGAAATCCTAATTCAAGGTTCTCAGCTATTTTGTGATGAGGCATCTGGCTTCTTTGCTGTTTTCCTGATGTCTTGTTATTTAGTACAGGTAGGGGGAATGCTGACAGTTCATTGGAGTGGGGGAAGAGAGAGAGATGATAAGGTCCCACAGCTTTTTTTTTTGTTTTAATCTGGGAAATGGCAAGCGTTCAAATCATGGGGCTTAGTATTGGAGTCAACAATTGCCAGCTAAGCATTTATTAAGGGCTTCTTGTGTACCAGGCATAGGATACTAAGGTACAAAAGCAGTCCCTATCCTCAAGGAACTCATAGCATTAACTCTGTTCATATAAGATAAACTGAGTAGATAGGTAATAAGGGAGGGTGAAGCACTGACAATTGGGCGGACTGGGAGAGACCTCCTAAGAAAGTGGGATTTGAATTGAGTCTTGAAAGAATCCATGGAAAAACTAAGAAGTAGAGGTGAGGAGAGATGAAATTCCATGTATAGGTGACAGCCAGTGCAAAAGCACAGATAGGAGATGGAGTGTCATGCTTGAGAAACTGCAAATAAGCCAGTATAGCTTGGTCATAGAGTGTGCAGAGCAGAATAAAGTGTAAGAAGATTAGAAAAGTAGGGTGGAACCAGGTTATGAAGGCTTTTAATGCCAGAAGACTTTAAATTTCATCCTGGAAAGAATAGGGAGCCACTGGAGTTTGAGTAGAAGGGTGATATGGTCAGACCTATACTTTAGAAAAATCACCTTGGAAACTGAGTAGAGGATGGAGTGGAGTGGGAAGAAAATTAAGACAGGGAGACCAGTTAGAAAGGTAATTAAGGTCTACACTAGGATGGTGGTTGTGGTAGTAGTGTACAGGAGACATAGTCAAGAAATATTAAGATAGAAAAGATAGAAATGACAGAGTTTGGATGTGGAGGATGTGTGAGAGTGAGGAATGGGGGGATAACACCTAGTTGATGAGCCTGGATGATTGGGAGGATAGTGGTGTTTTGACTATTACTATAGGGAAGATGGGAAGACTAGAGGATTTGTGGGAAAAGATAATGATTTCAGTTTTGGACATGTTGAGTTTGAGTTGCCTATGAGACATCTGTTTTGAGATGTCCAAAAGGCAAGTTGGTGATCCAGAACTGTAGTGTGGGCTAGATAGAGATTTAGGAATCATATGCATAGTGATAATAATTGAAGTTTTGGGAGCTGATAGTGTCACTTAGTGAGATAGTATAGAGGGAGAAGAGAGAGGGTTCAAGACAGACCCTTGGGGAGCACCCAGTGTAGTAATGAGCATGACAAGGATGAAGCAAAGGAGACTGACAAGTCAGACAGTGAGAGGAGAACAGGGAGAGAAGCAGTGTCATGAAAGAGATGATCCAGGAGGATAAAGTATTGAATGCTGCAGAGATGTTGAGAAGAATGAGGATTGAGAAAAGGCCATTAGATTTGACAATTAAAATATTATTGATAACTTTGGATAGATGAGGTCAGAAACCAGTCTGGAGGGTTTAGAAGAGAATGAGAAGAAAAAAAATAGAGGCACCAACTGTAGACAGCTTTCTTAAGGACAGTAGCCTTTAGAAGGGGAGGAAAGTTAGCAGGAAAATAGCTAATTGGGGATTTTGGATCAAGTGAGAATTTTTAAGGATGGAGGAGACATGGGCATGTTTGTAGGCAACAGGAAAGGAACCAGCGGGTGTGGAGAGATTGAAAAATAAGAGTGAGTGGGGACGATCTGCTCGACTTTATGAGAAGGTATGGATTAAGGGTACATATAAAGGGCTGGCCTTAGTAAAGAGAAGGGCCATCTCTTTATCTGACAGAAGTGAAAGAGGATATAGTAGAGGAAGATGTCTGAATGTTGTGAGATGTGGAAGAATGGAGAAGGGGGGAGCTCATGGTGAATGGCTTTTTTTTTGGTAGAAATATGAGGCAAGGTCCTCAGCTGAGGGGAAGATCATGCCAGGGGAGGTTTAAAAAAGATAAGAGAAGGTTTGGAACAACTGATTTGGAGAATGTGATGGTGAATTGATTAGGAAGAATGATTGCCTTGCTGCTGTGAGGGCCCATTTAAGATCAGATAACATAAATTTGTTGTGAACCCAAGTGGCATGATTTCCTGATTTCCTTTTTATCCATTCACCAGCACTTGAATAGGAGCCAAGGGGGCAGATGGTGGAAGTAATCTACATTTAGGATTACTCAAGGCTCAGTCAGTTAGTGATAAGGGATTCAAGAGTAGATTTTATAGAGTAGAATTGAGATCACCAAAGTGTAAAGGCAGGAAAGGGAACAGAGTGCAGTCAGAGCAGGGGCAGTAGCCTTGCAAAAAATTGAGGAGTAGAAGAGATGAAGGTCATGGAGGATAGAACAGGTCGTGGGAAATGATCAAGTTGGGAAACTGAGAAGTTTAGGTGTTTGAGGGAATATCACTGTGTAAGTTGAAGTCCCCTAGCATTGGAGTAGGAATGGGAGAGGAGAGAAGGACAGTAAGCCAGATACTGAACTCCTTGAGGAAAGAAAGGGAATGTTCTGAGGTCTGTAGAAAACAACTACCAGAATTTTGATTGAGTTGTAGATATGGATTAAAGAACCTTAAAGGAAGAGAGGTTACTAAGTAATGATAGAGGGAGAGCTTGCACATAGCAGTAGGGAGCAAGAAGGTATTCCAATTCCCACACAGCACAACGAGGACTGGAAAAGATGTTGAGGGGAAGCTGTGTCATCAAGAGGGAGCCCAGTCTCAATGAATTAAGTCAAATCAGCAAGTATTTAAGTATTCACAGGCACTGTGCTAAGCCCTGGAAATACAAATACTAGTAGAAGGAAAGACAGTGTGTATTGTCAAGGAGCTTATGTTCTAAGGAGGAAGACAATCTATAAAGGGAAATACGGAGCAGGGAGCACACAGAAGCCTTGGTATGGAGAAGTGACATGGAAGCCTCCTTCCAGGCAGGATAAAGTGAAGGCTCACCTGTCAAAGCCCATCAAAACCTAAGGACAGAGTCCAGGGTTCTAGTGGAACATGGATGAGGTTGATGGATGGAGTGTGTCCTGCTAGCCTTCTGTCTTGCCTGGAAATGCTGGTGAGCTTCAATGAGATGAGGGTGGTTTCTGTTACCTGCTTGTGGTAGTGAGAAAGGAAGTGGTATGAGTGATTTATGTATGCACTCTATCTCAGTATAATCTGTAAGTCTTTTTATGTTTTTAAGACAACTTTTAAAGTAGAAGTCACTTGTGAAGGATCATAGTAATTTGTACAAATTAAGGATGTTGGTCTTAAAAGTCTTGGTGGAATTTAGTAACTTCATTAATTGATCTTGCCTAACTGCCATTTCTAGTTGCATATAGTAATAATTTCTTCTGGTGGGGTTAACTGTTTATTTTTAATTTCTGTCCAATTTTGATTTTGTTTGTTTGCAGGGTTCTGAAAGAGCAGGAGCATTAGCTAAAATAAAATCCAAGGCCTATTCAGTTGTCACTCAGGTAAATTTGTTTGTTTTTTAAACAAGGTAACAAACATTTTTATGAATATTTTGGTCATATTTTTGTTTTTTATTAAGGGATTTTAAGCATTTTAGCTATAAGTTTTAAGTACTATGTTTTTTGATTTTTTTTGCATTTGATTGAATAAGGGGTACATTGCTAGACTTTTAAGTCATTTTATTTATTTAATAATCTTTGAAATCTAGGTTTTTTAAAAACTGTAATTTCAGTTACTGTGTGCAATAGATGGATATATCCATATGATGAGAAATTTATGTGTGTAGACCTTGTAAATGTAGTTATATGATTTCTTACATTCAACTTCAAAACACTTGCTAGTTTTTTTGATAGCATAACACTCTATGATAGTCAATTATATGGTAGTAGTGGCAGGCAGGTGGTCAGGCCCCCTAATAGTTTGCTTTTTTATGTGTGCTAATAACTGTTTAGGTAAAATTATTTTTCCTCAGGTTGGTCCACAGGCTGAATATTGGTTTCCTAGCTAGTAGATCATTTAAAATCCTACAGACACACAATTATAAACTATCTTAAAGTCCACTGTGGGTCATATGTGGTTGTTCCAAGTACCACAGAAATAAACTTTCTTTGATCAAGATTTTACAGCTTCAGCTGATGTTCATATTCTTTGGCCATATTAACATTTTTAACATTAACATTGCTTGACCCAGTTTTGAGAGTCTCATGGAATCCATTGTAGTGGAATTTGAACTTTAGAGCTTGAAGAGACCTGTTCGTTACTAATCAGTTATTTTTCATTTTCATAACACTGTGGCCAAAATCTCACCAATGTTGTCATTTCTATTATCATAGGATCATAGATTTAGACCAAGACTGGATCTTGGAGTCTTTTCGCCCAACTCTTTCACTTTAGATATGATGAAATTGAGACCTCTGATCTCACAGTAGTCTACTTCTCTACCATGCTGTCTCCTAAGTACAAAAACTGGTTTTATGCTTCATTTAGTATTTTATTTTTCCCTAGTTACAGGTAAAAACAATTTTTAACATTTATTTTTAAAACTTTTGAGTTCTAAGTTCTCTCCCTTCCTCCCTCACCCTCTCACCAAGAAGGCAAGCAATTCAGTATAGGTTATACATGTGTGGTCGTGCAAAACATATCCATAATAGTTGTGTTGTGAAAGAAAGCAGACAAAACAAATTTCAAGAAAAATAAATAAATAAAAAGTATGCTTCAATCTGTATTCAGATACCATCAGTAAAAGTGGTTAATTAAAAAAAAATTTATTAACCAGAACTACCCAGTAAATATGATCTCTTCTATTGTCTTGTGATAATAATTATTCATTACATTGAGATAAAGTGCCTTGGGACCAAGGCACTTTAAAGTGATGAAATGTCTTCTGAATCATCAAAAAATGATTAAATTTTGTTTGGATATAGTTTTAGTATTGTTATGTTTTATTGCATGCTGATTTTTTAATAATTTGTAATCCATTAGAAGATACGTGCTATAATAATGTGCTACAGGGGAAACAACTGGAGTTGGAGGAGCTGGGTTTAGATTCCATTACTGCTATTCACTACTTGTATGACTTAGGCAAATTAATTATCCTGTCTGGTTCTGTTTCCTTATATACATGTTGGGTTGGGGTTGGACTAGATGATCTTCAAAGTTTAGCTCCAAATCTATGACATTACATTAACTGCCATGTTTTCTTTGGCACAGACTGTCTTCTTGCTTGTTTTTGTATTCCCAGTGCTTGACACATAGTAAATGCTTAATAAATGCTTGTTGGCTGATTGACTTGTCTTCCAGAAGTCTCTCAGCCAATCAGGAGTCACATCTTCCTGCCGTCCGTAGTCGGAAGGGCTGTCCTTCAGAGGACCACCAAACCTTCCTGGGGAAGTTATTGAAGCATTTTTTTAAAAAATGCACAAAAGGCTGCAGAAGAAATGACCAAAGGAAACAGACAAACAGGGCAGCTTGGAAAGTTGTGTTGCAACACTCCGTTTTCTAACCAGTCCAGATAAAATTTATTAAATATTTATGCTGCCAGTTAGGCATTGTTTGTGGGCATGAGCAACTAAAAGAAATAGTCTTTCTTAAGAAACTGTGGTTACACTTATGTGTTCTGTTGGTTTTATATTTATGGTGGTATTGATGTCTGTCTGTCATGCTACATGATTATCTAGTGCAAGCTTAATAGTGCTTTAGGAATTCAGAGAAAGGAAAGATCTCTGTGGGTTGGAGTAATCAGGGCAAACTTTGTGGAGGAGTTGGGTAGGATTTGATTTGGTGAAGGGGGAGGATAGTCTAAATGACAGTAATAGCATGAGTAAAAGGCATAAAGGCTGGAATGAGCATGTAGGAGAGAGTAGGAAATTAGCCTGACTAGAACAGAGGGTATGAGTGGGTTGGGTTGGGTAAAAAAAGCATAACTTCTTTGGATAAGGATAATGTTATAGTGTGGTATGTGCTAGATGTGTAGTGTACATACAGAGGATGTGAGTTATAAAATACTGGAATTTTTAAAATACATTTTCCTGATAGAATGTCTTTGTGCTTTGATCATATTTTTTGACTTGCTCTTTGTATTAAATATGTTTCTATTCTGTATACCTGTTAAAATCAGGATCCCTTGTAACTTAGTAACTTTAATTCTTCAGGCATCCAAGTCAAGAAGACATCGTCAAGTCAAACTTGAACCACTTGAGACAGAATTTGTTAAAAAGCTAGTCAAGACACCTAATAAAAGAAACAAAGGAAAACTGGAATCAGAAGAGGAAACCTCACCTCAAATTAAAGGTAACTTAATAAGGTCTTTATAGAAATGAGAGACAGTGATTTATATCTTTGTTGTGGACCAGATTCTCTTTCAGTGTATTTAGGGAGCTTGTAATCTTTAATGTCAGGAAATTCATTTGTAGAGTCATAGAATTTTAGAGTTGAATGACATCTCGATGGTGACCTAGTCTATTTTACAAAGAAGTGAGACAAAGCAAGTTAAGTTGGGGCAGCTAGGTGGCGCAGTGGCTAGAGCACTGGCCCTGGAGTCAGGAGGACCTGAGTTCAAATCTGGCCTCAGACACATGATACTCACTAGCTGTGTGATCCTGGGCAACTCATTTAACCCCAATTGCCTCACAAAAAAAAAAAAAAAGCAAGTTAAGTCCTTTGCTCACATCTGCATAGTTATGACTGACAGAGCTAGGGTAAGAACTGTGTACTCAGAGTCAATAATTTTAGTCTTTGTGTCCCCATGGCTGCTGCCAGCAGGTACCAGAACAAAACTATGACAAACTCACTGTGCGAGCTAGAATTCTCCTTACCTGCTTTTCTGTTCAGCATGATGCTTTTACTACTTTGAGTGTTTGGCTCCTGAGGAAGGATTGTTTTAAACAACTGAAGGAGCAGGCCCTGAAAACCAAGTCAAAGTATTAAAATCATATGTCCTGACTACATGCTTTGGGTTTCCTTTGTTTTTGTATGAGTGATAAGGATACACACAAGTATAATAGTCATTGTTGTCAAATTTTACTCCATATAATACAGTGTTCTTCAAAACCTGTTTGGATGTGCTTGTGCTTATGTTAAATGGCCTTAGATTGCTATTCTTTTTGAGTTTTTCCCAGTCACTCCTGGGAATTATTATTATTTCTGCCATATTATAATATTAGTGTTTCTGCCTATAGTGTAAGATGGAAAGAAAGCTTGAAATCATGACACCAGGCTCAGCTGAAGAGAAAATTTAGGACGTAACATAACCGCGTCTTCTGATATTTGAAGGATATTTGAACAACTGTCAGGTGGAAGAGGGATGAATAAACTTGTTTTGCTTGACTTGAGAAATTAGAGCTAGGAGTAATTGTGGAAATTGCAGGGAGGCACATTGCTTGCTCAATATAAAAGAAAATCTTTCTTTAAAAATAGATAGAAACCTCCAAAAGTGGAATTGTCTGATTCATGAAGTAGTGAGTTTTCCTTCACTGATGGTCTTCAGGTGGAGGCTAAATGGTAATTTTTTATAGAGGAGAGGTATAGATGATTCTTCCTTAGGGATAGAGGAACTCTGAGGTAGTCCCTTCCTGTTCTCAGATTCTGTGATTTCCCTTCCTTATAGCCAAGTGTTTTTAATATGTGATGACTCTGTAAACCTGATAACCAAGCCCATGAGAATTATGGGTAAGGTATTTCCAGGATGAGCCTGAGTGGCATTCCTGTCAGTACAGAAAATTAGTTTTAGTGCCTGGATTTTGTGACCTCTATTGTGGCTCATCAGAGGTCTTTCTGCTTACGTCCTAACACTTGGTTGTGTTTGGTTTAGCTAAAGTGTTAGTGTATTTTAGAGCCCCTTAAAATTTGTTTCCCTTTTTTCTTTTGAATTATTGCATTTAATGTTAACAATTTAATTAACCCAAATATAATTAAATAAAGCTTTGTCTCCAAGATAGCTTTTAAATGCTTATTTCATAGTTGTAAAAAAAAAAAAAAGAATAGTGTTCTGAAACTTGCTAGCCAACATAATTTAACCTAAGTTTGTTAGAAATTGGTCACCTGGCTTAGTAAATTTTTTTCCTTTCTGTTAACTTTTTTTTTCTTCCTCCCTCACTTCCTTCCTTCTTTTTTTTTAACATTTTTCATTCAGATGTATTACATTATGACAATTTAGTTCAGAATTTTGAATAATTATTGATCAGAACCATGCAAAAACTGTTATGCCTGTATTATTTGGTATAACGTTTTGGTGGGAAATACAGCATAGATTTATGCTGTATACTTTGACAGTGATGATTAAGAAGGGTTTATATGTTAAACATGTAAGAATATAAGGTCATCATGGTTTAAATATCTTTATATAATTAGGTTCTTTAATAGAATTTGAGAAACAATTAATGGTTGTTTCTTGATGGTTGCCAAGCTTTTTTTTTTTCCTATTTCATTAGTGGTGTCTTCAGTCAATTATCTTTATCAAAACAATTCTTTCCTTTGATGTAGGAATTAAAGAAAATAGATTGAATTGGGTCCAGAAGACTCCTGAAACATTGTGCAAAGCATGTACATACCTTATATTACGTGTATATTTGAAATATATTTGGTTCAGAGTTACTGTCACTATAATTGTATTTCTATTCTAAACATTTAGCTTTGATATGTTGACATAGTGTGTTATATCACTGGATCATAGAGCTAAAGCTGGCAGAGCTCTTAGAGATCATTGAGCACAACTCCTTCATTTTATGGTTGAGTAAACTGAGACCCAGAGATGTGGAGTGACTTTCCCAGTGCCATAGATAGGCAGTAAGTATAAGAGCTAGGATGGGAGTTCAGGTTCTCGGATCTTGTATCCAGGACTTTTTCCATTATACATGTTGTTTTTGGAATGTTCCCCCTCACCATCCCTCCCCCCACTCCCCCCAACTAAAATATTCTTTCTCTAACATATATACTTGAGATTTGGTAGCATGGAATCTGTGATTGGACTATGACTCTAGAAGGGTACCTTTTTTTTTTTTAATTAATTTATTTTGATTTATCAACAATCACTTCCATATGCTTTTGAGTTTAAAATTTTTCTCTCCTTTTCTCCCCACCACCCTCCCCAAGATGGCGCACAATCTGATATAGGCTATGCATATACATTCCTATTAAACATAGTTTCACATTAGTGATGTTGTAAGTAAGAATTAGAACCAATAGGAGGAACCACCAGAAAGAGGAAACAAAACTCAACAGAAGAAAAAAAAATAGCAAATAGTATGCTTCGATCTGCATTCATAGTTCTTTCTTTGGATGTGGATAGCATTTTCCACACGCGGCCTTTGGAGATGTCTTAGATCCCTGTATTGCTGGGAAGGATTAAGTTTATCAGTAATAGTCATTGTACAACGTGGCTGTTATTGTGTACAACGTTCTTTTGGTTCAGCTCACTTCACTCAGCATCAGACCATACAAGTCTTTCCAGGTTTTTCTGAAGTCAGCCTGTTCATCATTTCTTATAGTACACTAGTATTGCATTATATTCATATACCACAACTTGCTCAGCCATTCCCCAATTGATGGGCATCCTCTCAATTTCCAATTCTTTGCCAAGGGGTACCTTATTTTAAAAGGAAAAGGATAGTGGAATGGGAGCTGGTGAAAGCGGGAGGATTGGAGTAACACTTTTTGTTGAGAAGGTGTATGGGGGAAATCTAGAAATCAGGGGAAGTTGTAAAGAACATTTGGGTCAAAATCATTGGAGATAGAAAAAATATTGGTATCAGAGTATACTATGAACTATCTCGATAGAGAGCTCACTTCAAGGACATAGATTACAACCTAGCTTAGAGATACGATATAGTATTGATGGGAAACTTCATGTATTTGGACTGAATTCAACTGAGTTCAGCTCGCTCTGACAAAAACCGAAGTTAATATTTTCTTGAAAAGGAGCAGTTACTTGCTGTGGCCAAAGTGATGGGAACCATCTTGTGTGATCCTATGAATGAGCACTCCATCTTAGCATTTTTGACAGTGAAGGGAAGGAAAGATGGTATAGTATTAAATTTGGGGAGAATATACTTTAGAATGTTCAGGGAAAACATAAATAGGATCACATGGTCTAAGATTCTGTAGGGAAGTTAGTCCCAGAGGGAAAGGACACTCTTAATGAAATTCTGAAGACACAAATAAATAATTCCATTGAAAAGTCAAAGGAGGAATTGTCTAAAAAGATTATTTGAAGGGGAGGAAGGGGGAGGAAATTTGGAACTCAAAATCTTATGGAAGTGAATGTTGAAAACTAAAAATAAATTAATATTAAAAAAAGGGGTATTTGAATTCATTGGGAATGTGTAGACCAACCAAAAGAGTTAGGAGTATTTCTCAGGGAGATTTAATTTCTTTCCTAAATGCTTTTAAGTGTTTATTGCCTCTAGATTATAAACTCAGGTATTGCCATTCACCATTAAAACTTATTTTACATTACTTCCTTTCACACATCATGGTTAAACTGGCATGTGTGCTGCTGTCCATACTTTGCCTTACATTTTTCATCTTGGTATGTTAGTACAAGCTATCCCCGTACTGGGAATGTGTTTCTTCCTAGCCTTTGTTTTGTTTTCCTAGCGTTTTCCAAAAAAATCCTTAGTTTTCTTCAGGGCTTGGTTCAAGTTCCACTTGCTTGATTTGAGGCTTCTCCTGCCTCAAATTATCTTGTAATTGCTCATCTGTTTACATATTGTATACATTGCCCTCCTTGAGGACAGAGACTTTTCCATATTTTTTTTGTGTCCTTAGCATCTACCATATAACCTAATACAGAGTATAGATGCTTTATAAATGTTGATTTGAATGAGTAAATATAGAACTCATCTTTTATTTTGCTTCTGATTTTCTACAAAGAATGACCTTTGGGCTGGAAATTATAGAAAAGCCCAGTTAGCCAACATACGTGTAAACACCAACTTTGTTCCACGCACTGAGTCAGATGTTATGGATAAAATACGATGAAACAGTTCATACTTGAAAGGAGCTTATGTTCTAATAGGAAAGACATTAAAATTATATATAGAATAAATATGAGGAAAATAAGTACAAAATACTTAAGTACAGTGTAAATTGGGAGGGAGGAAACTAACATTTAGGAAGAACAAGAAAGATTTCATGTAGGAAGCGGTGCTTGAGCTGTGTCTTGAAGTAAAAGAGGGATTGGATTCTATGAGGGAGAGTAAGAAGGGAGTACATTCCAGGTGTGGGGTAGACCAAAGCAAAGGCATGGAGATGGGAGGAGTGTTACATAAAGGCCAGTTTATGCTGGATTACAG